CTAATCGCATGATCGGTGTTCGATGCCCTCAAATGCGCAAAAAAAAAGTTACATAGAATAAGATTAATATATTCTAGAAATTGCAGAAGCAAAGCCTAGCATAACTGACAGAGAGCAAGTGAGAAATAAAATCAAAATTTCCCTAACAAAGTGCACAAAAGTTATTCACATAAATAACCCTAATAATCAACAATAAATCATTTTCATCCATTTCAATAAGCCATTAAATTTAAGGCTTCGTTTAGAATTGCTTCTTCTTGCTTTGGTTTTTTTTTTATCGTAATCATAATTTTTATTTGACAACCACATTTTTTGTTACTTTTAAAGTTTTTTGTGCTTAGAATCATCTTTCTACAACAGCTTTAAAAAGGACTATTTTTATAAAATAATTTTAAAACTAACTTTATAAAAAGTTACAATCATCCTAAACAGACCCAAAATTGAGTACTCCAAATATGCTCACAACTAGGGGTGTCAATATTGGACCCGACCATAAAATTTCGGGTTTGAGTTGACCCGAACCCAAAACGGATCGGGTTTGGGATGACACGTCAACCTGAAAATGACCCGTTTTGACCCGAAAACCCATTTTGACCCGGGAACCCGAGATTGACCCATTTTGACCCGTTCTTGACCCGAAAAGCTGAGTGTGACCCGTTTTTTTACCCGAAAACTAGCAATTTTTGTCCGAATCGATTCATTCGGGTCGAGTCGGATTGACCTGAACCCGAAGTGGGTCTGGTTCAGGTCCAGAAAACTGACCCGTTTACATGAACGGGTCGGGTTCGGGTTGGCCCGAATAGTACCGAGTCAATTTCGGGTTCGACCCGAACTCGACCCGTGACCCGAAATTGACACCCCTACTCACAATTTGTTAGAAATGGCTTCCGTGTTTTCTAAATGAACAATTTTCTTCACAACCCTTAGGATATATCTCGTTGACAGTTCCAACCTTTTCGAAGTCTTTAATTCATAGTTGATTTGGCCAAGTCTTCTCCTCATGTTTTGGGACTTTTCTTGCCACAAAACAATTTTTTTCCATTTGCAATTTTAAATTATTAGTAATTCGATTAGTCCATATTGATCCCTTGAATATAGATCATTTAGTCAACATTTAAATGTCTTAGTGATATTGGAATTAAAAGAGCTTGGTCTTGTTGGATTCATCTTGTCGAGGAGCTCAATTTTTTAAGATTTGAATTTTTTTTTTTTGTCGTTTAATTAATGTGAAGAAGTTTTTAATTATACTTCAAGTGTTTGATCTGAACTCATTGGATGCGCTCGAAGTAGACCATTTTTAGTACCATTTGATTTGTCTCATCGAAGCATTAAGCTAGCCCATAGTTTTGCTAAAATAGAAGTTAAGATGACCCTGAATTTAGTTTTAGAAGATTCTCATTAAAAATTGCATCTAGATTCGTGCTTGACTAAGACCATGTTCAATGAAGTATTAATAATATTACAAATTTTAGTCGCTTATTTGAGGATCTATCACTCACCCTGAAGAAAAAGGGAATAGCACAAAAAGAACTACATTTTTTTTTTAATGGCCATCAAAGCCAAAAAACAGTCCATGAGCCGTTAGAAGCCACAAACCAGAACAATTATTACGTCATCTGATCGGACGTAGAGGAACATCCAGTTGGAGGTCAAATCCCATCAAAAAATGAGAAATACCGAGCAATACCAAACAATAACGAGGAATACCATCACGTGAAGACTCAATACCGAGTTATACCGAGCTATACCGAGTTATACAAAAGTTGTACCGAGTTTTTCCTAGCAAAAACTCGGTACAACTCGGTATTGCTCGGTATAACTCGGTTTTGATCTTCACAGAGAGGTATTCCTCGTTATTATCAAATAATACATAGCAATACCAAGCAAATATCAAATTTTTTGGCGGGATTTTGCCTCCGACTAGACGTTCCTTTACGTCCTTACACCGGACCTAATAAAAGTTCCACAAACCATCTAAATTACTATATTAATTAGAGTAAAACCTCACATTGAGTAACAACATACAACATAAAATTTAAGTAAAAATCTCATTATTAGAGAATGCTAGAAAGCAATTTGCTTTTTTAGACGGCAACTATAATTCTTTTAGTCTATTGCTTTCGAAAAATTTTGTGGTGAGAAGCTGTTTTTCGCAACTAGAGTTGCTAATTATACCTGATAAGTTTAAGGTAACAAATATTTGAATATTTAGAAAAATATATATTTATAGTATCCACGTCAACTTAAAAAAAAAAAAAAAATCTTTCAACAGATCATAATCATTTTTACAAAAAGCAATCTAAAACAAACCCTTCACAAACAAAAATCAAACAACCAAAATATAAATGTAGATCCAACAAAAGTTGTACAATAGTACTGAAAAATTAGTCCGCTTAAAGAAAAGATTTAGGGTTCGTTTGAGACGGCTTTCTTACCGCTTTTTAAAACAGCTTTCTAGTATAAAAATTAAAATTTTTGTACTCGAAAGTTGCTTTAAGAAGCAAAAAGAAAGCCGTCCCAAACGAAGCCTTAGACTTTGTTTGAGACGGCTTTCTTATTGCTTCTTAAAGCAGTTATTTAGTATAAAAATTAAAATCTTTGTACTAAAAAACTGCTTCACGAAACAATAAGAAAGTTATCCCAAATGAAACCTTAAGCTCTATTTAGGACAGTTTTTTTTATTTTTTTGCAATGCTGCGGTAGAAAAAATAAATTTTTAAAGTTGTTGCAGAATTAGCTTCCTAGCATTTTTTTTAAGAACGAAAAAAGTACCAAACATAAATTATAGTTGAGATTGGAAAAGCAACCCGATAAGAAAGCTGTCCCAAGCGAAGCCTTAACCGTCTAATAGCTTAGTAAATCCCTCAATCAGTCATTTGCTTCAAGTAAACCAGTGAAAACTACATAAACTTCTTTAGAGATTAAGATATACAAATAGTTTAATCTTTAGCAGAAGACATTCAAATTGAGCATCAATAGAGTATGAATGTGATTGTTCCTCTCTATCATGGTTGTAAAGTACAATAGAAGCGGATCTAGTTGTGGCTCGCTGGTCGACGAAAAAATTCCATACCGCATGATCGACATTCGATGCCCTCAACTGCCCAAAAAAAAATTACAATAGAATAAGATTAATATATTCTAGAATTTGCATAAGCAAAGCCTAACATAACTAACATAGATCATGTGAGAAATAAAATCAAAATTTCCCTAACAAAGTGCATGAAAGTTATTCACATAAATAACCCTCATAATCAACAATCAATCATTTTCAGCCTTTTAAATTTAAGGCTTCTTTTGGAACAACTTCTTCTTGCTTTTCTTTTCATATCCTAATCATAATTTTTATTTGGCTACAACATTTTTCTTTTCTATCAAGAATTTTTTGTACCGAGAATCTTCTTTCTACAACAACTTACAAAAAAAAGACTACTTTTTCTATAATAATTTTAAAACCAACTTTATAAATATTTGCAATCTGAACCCAAAATGAGTACTCCAAATATGCTTACAACTTGTTAGAAATGGTTTCGGCGTTTTGTAAAATGTTTGTGTAACTATTGTAGAGAAATTAAATTTTTTAAGCCACTCTGAATATTATAAATATATATTTTTTAAAAAAATTCTGACAATTATTTTTTCACAGCATCATATATTATAAATTTGGTTATAAAAATCAACTTTTAAGTTTTAACTATAATTTTTTTTTTTGAAAAGCAGAAGAATAAGTGGCAAAAAAAGTAATAATCAGGAAAATTATGATTGTAATTAAAAATAAAATAATAAAAAACTATTCCAAATGTACCATAAATCATATAAATTTAATCAAATTGATTTTAATATTCTAAATGACAATTTTCTTCACAACCCTTAGGATGAATATCTCGTTGACTGTTCCAAAGGGTCACATCCCTTTCCTTTTCGAAGTCTTTAATTCTTAGTTGATTTGGCCGACTCTTCTCCGAATAAGGTGCAAAAAAAGTAATAATCAGGAAAATTATGATTGTAATTAAAAATAAAATAATAAAAAACTATTCCAAATGTACCATAAATCATATAAATTTAATCAAATTGATTTTAATATTCTAAATGACAATTTTCTTCACAACCCTTAGGATGAATATCTCGTTGACTGTTCCAAAGGGTCACATCCCTTTCCTTTTCGAAGTCTTTAATTCTTAGTTGATTTGGCCGACTCTTCTCCTCATGTTTTGGGACTTTTCTTGCCACAAAACTTTTTTTTTTTTCATTTGCAATTTTAAATTATTAGTAATATGCAAAAATACCCTACTTTTTTTTTATCTCTTTTTGAAAATAAATAATAATTCTAGAATTTTATAAATAAGATTATAGACTTATAGTTTCTCGTTTTTCAGTTTTTTCTCTAAATAAGAATAAATTATTATTTCCTATATGTAAGTCTAATGATGTTAGAATTTTTAAAAATTATTTGCATACAAATTAGATATTATTATAGTAATACTACTATAATTTTAAATATTTATAAATTTATTCATTAGAACATAAGGCTAATGGTTTTTTTTATAAAAGATCTAATTAAAATAAATTTTATACAAATAACCTTCTAACTTTTTCAGAATTTGCAAGTTAGCATTTCATCGGCTGACGTGTGAGCTGCTCAACCTTATGTCGTATGTATCCAATAAAAATATGATAACTCAATTTTCTATATAATTAAAATTCCATTTAAATAAACCGTACTAAGAGTATATAAAAAATTAATTTATTACATAATATTTTGAAGAAAAAAATTATTAGAAAGATCTTAAAATTTTTAGATTTATTTTAAAATTACTGTAATATAATTTCTTCATTCAAAAAACTAATCTCCAAGTAAATTTAAGACTTTTAAATTAATTATTTATATATTTTTATCAAAATATCAAACTATAATTTTTTTTTTTAAATTATGAATTAATATTTAAATAATAAATAAAATGTCATTTTATTTATTTAGTCAACAGTCAACACTCAATGAGGGTAGAAACGTCTATATGCCTTACCACTTGCTCCTTCTCCTTCTCCTTCTCCTTCCTTCCTCGAGTCTTCTCAGCCACCAATATTAAGCACGGAACGGGGGCTCCGCGCTCCTCTTGCAATTTATTTCTGCCTCACCTAACTCAATTGTACCACTTCCTCCACCCTCTTCAAAGCGATGACCACCGGCGTCAACAACGCCGGCGGCGCCGGCGCTAACACATCAGTAATCCTCGGCGGCTTCCACTACTCCATCGATCCCGACCTCATCGAACAAAAACAGAGTCCCACCCCACCTTCCAAGCCCAGCCGAAGCCCCTCCACTCCGCCGGCAGTCCATACCTCTGCAGCGACAACGAAAACCACAAGGACGCTGGTTATCGACAAGACACTCGCCAGCGCAGCCAACCTATCGAACCTCCTCCCAACCGGCACCTTTCTCATCTTCCAAGCCCTCTCCCCTTCTTTCTCCAACAAAGGCCGCTGCTACATCTCCAATCAATGCCTCACCTACGGTCTCCTCTTCCTCGGAATCCTTTCATGCGTCTTCTTCACCTTTACTGATAGTTTACTCGGCCGCGACGGGCGGATTTATTATGGCTTCGCGACGTCTGAGGGGCTTTACGTGCTGAATTTCTACGGCGGGGAGGAGGAAAAAGGAAAGATTTTTAGAGAGGAGGATTTGCGGCGGCGGCGCCGGCAGTGGGTGGATTGGGTGCACGCCGTGTTTGGAGTATTGGTGTTTCTGGCGCTGGCGTTCAGCGATGCGGATATACAGAGCTGCTTCTTCCCGAGCGCAGGGGCAGATGCTAAGGAGCTGTTGGTGAATCTGCCGCTTGGGGCGGGGGTTTTCGCTAGCTTGGTTTTCATGGTTTTTCCGACCACCAGGAAGGGGATTGGGTATTCTGATCTGGACAGTCATTCCAATTAAGCTTTGCCATTGAAAAAAAAAAAAAAAAAGAGTATTTTTATATTATATTTATCTTACAATAATTTAAACTCTTAAATTTATCTAAATTTAACTATGTTAAATATATTATCAATTTTTCACCCTTGTATAGTATGAGAAAATTCAAAAAAAAAAAAAAAAAAAAACTTAATGTAGAACATGTCATTTTTTTTCCTTTCTGATTCATCGTCAAGTTATGTAAATTGTCTGGATTAAATTATTTGAAAGGGGGTTTAAAACATATATTTGATATTTAAAATCTTTTTTTATATTTATGGGCAATTTGATTTGAAATAAAATTAGTATGAAATATTATATGAGTATTGAGAATTTTGTATGTTTGTTTTGAAGTAAAATAATTATTGTATAAAAATTTGATGTATTTAGAACACCCTATGTGCAAATTTGATAGATTTGAATGATTACAAAATACATTATAATTTTATCGTCATTGTTGTCGTCCATAAGCTTTGACACTCATAGCTGATCAGTTACCACCATCATCAGCAGTCACCCGCCATTGCAATTGATTATCCACCACTATCGACCTCCACCATTGGTCGCTGCCACCAACTACCCATCATGGCAGACTGTTGATGGTCGCAGCCATCGGCCATCCTCCGCTGATTGCCACCAGCCACACATCGCCACTGTAGCCACCAACCAATACTATTTATGAAATTTACACTCAATTCATTTTAATTCAATTCAAATAAAAATAATAATAATCACATATATTCATTTTACTTTCATCCAAATAACTTTAAAATATTTTAAAGAGGTGTTTGGTTTGATGCATTTATGGTGTAGAGTAATCCAAATGCAAGGCTTTTGATAATTTGGCTGTTTAGTTAGATGAAAAATAAATTTAAAGTAAAATAAAGCAAATACAGTGTATTCAATTTTAATTCATTTTTTATTTATTTGAAATTCCTCATATTTGGGGGATTTTCAAATACACCGCAAACTCAAGGCATTGCTACCCCTTGTCAGTATCATCCGCCACTAAGGCTTTCTTTGGGACGACTTTCTTACTGCTTCTAAAAATAATTTTTTTGCACAAATATAAAAATTTTTGTACTAGAAAACTGCTTTAAGAAGCAGTAAGAAAGCCGTCCCAAAGGAAACCTAAATACATTTCATTATTTTTCACCCAACCAGGCATTCCCCTAATTAAATTTTATTTTAATATCTAAATTATGTTAAAATATATATCTAGTAAGTTAATATTAATGACAGTTTTTATATGATTTCAAAATTTGAATATTATGGCCCAAAGGCTCTGAACCAATTGAGCTGTCTGGTTCAGAGAGAACCGGTTTAATCTGAGCTAAACCGTCCTGACTCGATCGGCTTGATCTCTCCGCATGCGACTCTCATTTAGAAGAGAAAGCAGGAGGCATTAATTGCTGAAAGGGTTAAAATTTATTGCAGATTTGATTTAAAACCTTATGGAAGACATTTAGCAACATTTATATTTCAATTAGTTAACCAAATAGAAAAGGTCAATTTTTTAAAAGATCAAATTTAAAAAAAGATTTAAGAGAATGAGTATAATATAATTTTAATTCAAAAAGGAGCAAAAATGCACTGTAAAATCACGTTTGGTTAGAAACTGCAAAAAAAAAGTGTTTTAATAGAAAACGTCAACAATAATTACGTTTTGTGTTAAAACTCAATTTTTTAAAATTTTAAATTCCATCTGAAATTTTTAAGAGCTTTTTCATGTTTTTAGAGGATGGAAAGAGAGAGGAAGAAAAAAGGTAAATTGAGATGGATGGAGAGGGAGAGAGAGTGAGCCACAAATGGAGAGAGAGAAATAGAGAATTAAATATTATTTAAATTTAAATTTTAAAATTTTTGTTAACATTCCGGCTGAACCCTATTTTAAAATAGTATATATAAATATTTTAAATTACATTCCGGCTGAATCCTAAACCTTATTTTAATTGTTAATTTTTTTTTAAATATATTTAAATAAAAATATTTTTAATATTTAAATAAAATTATTTTTTTCTTTTTAAAAAAAGTTAAAAAGAAGTTAAAAATAATTTTATTTAAAATTTAAAATAAATTAAAATTATGAAATTAAGTTTGTGTGTGTCTCTCTCTTTCCATCCTCTAATAATATGAAAAAAAGCTTAAGGATTTCAACCCGATTTTACTATGTAATTTAAAAAAAGCTAAAAGTTTGTGTGTCTCTCTCTTTCCATCCTCTATTGAGACGCATAAACTTAATTTCATAATTTTAACTTATTTTTAATTTTAAATAAAATTATTTTTAACTTCTTCTTAACTTATTTTTAAAAAAAAAATAATTTTATTTAAATATTAAAAAAAAAAATTATCAACTCGGGTTCGACCCGAACCTGACCCGTCGACCCGAATTGACACACCTAGTCCCCCTAGTGCCCCCACTATATCTCTGCTCATGATAAAAAAGTTAATGTAAATTATGAATATTTATCTATTATTAGTTGGGCTTGATTAAATTTTTATTATGACTTAAATTCAACAAAATTTTAATAATAAATTTAATTAGTTCCTTAAATTCAGATTTAAAGCTTGACTTGAGCTTGATATAAAAATAAATGAAAGAACTTCAAAAATATAATACTCAATTAGACTTGAATCATTTTATGTTCATCCCTATCTATATATGATGAAGCTTCTCCACATGGAATTATCTTCATTAATGTTTCGTATGAGACAGTTTTTCTTAAGGCTTCATAGTAACACGTCACCGTCATAAACTCACAAATTATTTACCCTATTTGAAGAAAAGCACCATGTGAACAAGGTCCTAAGGTTTTAATGAGTTTGTCATGCTCTTTAGATCATAATCCTTGTATTCAATCCTCTCTCTCTCTCTCTCATTCCAATATTTGCGAAATAGTTTTGCAAGTGATCCTTGTGACTTTGTTGACCTCTATAGTTTCTTGACTTGATAATTTCTTAAGTATTTCAAATCCCTAAGCTCCGAGTCGCTTTTGACTTAACCATTTTTCCATCCACAAGCAACCTAATGAACCAATAAAATATTTTTTTCGTTGTTGCCTCTTTAGACCAAAGACACATGCAATGATTAATATTAATATTCATTCTTATAGAAGTACACATTACTTCAGTAATACTCTACGCACGCAAAAATTTAACATTCTAAGAAATAATAAATAAAATAAATTAAATTTATGATAATTTTTTTCCTATTTGTATGTGTTAATTTAATGAAAATTTTTAGTGGGTACATATTACTAATTACAACTTTAATAAACTAATTGTTGAGCCATCTTTGAGATATGCAATCACTAAAGAAGTTGATAGATATAGCCTATCGAGAAACTTCACATGTGATTACTAAGAATATATAATATATATAGTACTATGCTATACACTAGGCCAACAACTACCAATTTTGGAAGACTTGGGGGAGGTTAGGGCATTACAAGTAATGATAGTTGGCTTTATCTCATCATGAAATTTCTAAATTAGGAGGGTATGATAATAAATTTGAATTTTAGATTACATTACTTGTTAGTTGATGAAATATAGATGATAAATCAGGAATGCCTCTATTTATCTCTCTAAGATTGACTTAAGTGTTTTTAATTCATCTCTCGCTGACTTTATGATATGCTTATATTTCCTTGAAAAAATTTGATCTCGAGTTATAAAATGGGAGCTGAGGGCTAGATTGAGTTGCCCAATCAAACAACTTAATGGGGGTGAATTCATGCTAATGGGGCAAATGCTCTCAATGTGCACGAGTTAGGCCTAACTCGAGCTTGACTCAAAGTCCGAGCTCGAGATCATTACGCTGAAAACTGCTCGCCGAGTTGCTTGATTACCCGATTCGAGCTTCGATTCCGCCCCGTGACTCTGCGATTCTGCCTTCTGAGCTCGTATCAAAAATCCGTCGTTCGAGCTCGCGTTTGAGTTCCGTGTCCGAGTTCCGCTGTTCGAGCCCGCTTGCACCGTGATTCCACCGTCCGAACCTGCAACCCTTTGATTTCAAAATCCCAGTCCCCATCCGAGCCCTCATTCCGTGTCAGAGTTCCATGTCCGAGGCTTCAAGCCCTCCTTCCGAGTCGCGATCTCTTTCGCCGTTCAGATTTGAGTAGCTCAATGAGTAATCGAGCCAAGCATCCAAAGGATCAAACTTGAGCTTGATAAGCTATTGAGCTCGAAATCCTGCTCGAGCTTGACTCACAAGCTTGATAAGTTCAACTCGCAAGCTCATCAACGAGTCAAGCCCGAGCTGCCTCGTGAGTCGGATTGACTCAATTGCACTTCTATACCACGCAAATGACATGACAACAGTCAAATTCCATTTTTACCCTTGAATCTAGCAACACATAATTGTTGACACCTACTATCACCAAATAATCTCAGTAATTAGCAACTCTCAAACAAAAATTTAATCTATATCCAAAACCTTTTTCCTAAAAAAAAAAAAAGAACTAGTAGTATGCAGTTACAATTGAGGATCAGAACTATATGTAGCAAGTGAAAACAAAATGAAACAAAGGATAATTTGAAAGACAAAGGTGTACTTATGAATTAACTTTCCAAATTCCTTTGGAGGAAAACCTGTCTATTTTGACTAATCTTTTCTTTGATTTTTGTGTTCTGTGATTATTCTCAATATTACCATTAATAACAATATCAACCTTTACAATATGATGATCTGAAGTCCCCTTAGATGAGATAACCCCATAAGATCCAGGCAGAAACTTGTAGGGTGAACCAGGTGATGCCAGTATGTAATCTACTCTTGTTCCATACTTGCAAGTCCCCTGCACATCTGCATTTATCAGTTTAATAGAGTCAAGACCGTTGGATCAGCTTTAAGATGAGTGTAATACATAATTAATCAATAACTATTTATTTGATACTAATCTCAATGTAAATTTCTAATTAAACTTTGGTCTTATATTATGATGAGTAAAATGATAAGTTGAATAAGAATCTTCATTATATTTTAATCAGTATATTCTAACTCAAATTTTCTCTTTTAAATTTGCAGATGTAAATGTAAACATACTGAGAAGCATAGATTGGATTTACGGTGCATATTAGAAAGGAGAAAATTAAGTCATAATATCCTGATTTAAATTTTAATCCATATATATGAGTTTAAGCCACTAGATTTGCTTTAAGATGTGTGAATTTTGACTTTCTTTCCAAAATAAATTTTATAACTTAAAGCTCACCCTAATCAAATTTAAATCATAATACTCAAAGCAACATTTTCTCCAAATAGAAAGCTCTATATTTCAAGAGAAGTGATGTCACAAAACTAAGACTTCGTTTGAGACAACTTTTTTATGATTTTTAAATCAAGTTTCTAGTGCAAAAGTTTATTGAACTAAGGCTTCGTTTGGGACGGCTTTCTTAGTGTTTCATAAAACAAGTTTTTGGTACAAATTTTTTAATTATTGTACTAAAAAGTAGCTTTATAAAACAGTAAGAAAGTCGTCCCAAATGAAGCCTAAAACTTGTATTAAAATGCTATTTTAGAAAACATTAAAAAATTGTCTCAAACGAAGCCTAAATTGTTAAACATATGTAATTAAGGCCTCGTTTGGGGCGGCTTTCTTACTGCTTCTTAAAACAATTTTTTTGTAAACAATTTTTTAGTTACAAAAAAATTGTTTTAAGAATCAATAAGAAAGCCGTCCCAAACGAAGACTAATGCTTTATTTGGGGCGGCTTTCTTACTACTTCTTAAAACAACTTTCTAGTTCAAAAATTTAAAATTTTGTATTAAAAACTGCTTTATGAAGCAATAAAAAAGCCGTCTCAAATGAAGCCTAAGTAAGATAAAGCTTTTACCTTGTCCTTTAGCAACCACAACAACAGCTTCACATTCCCCTGCAAAATTCTTGGCATCAATGTAATTCTTCCCCTTGAGAAACCTCATCACCTCAGCCTTTGGCCTTGGCTTCCCATTCTCTTCATGGTACTGTAACAAACAAAAATCAGCGAGCTTAATTTCTTTCCAGTGAAACTATACCTGGAAACAATTGAATGGGAAAAAAATTCACAACCTTTATAATATCATTCCATCTCTCCTCAGAGTAATCTGTTTCATCAAGAGTATTTAGCCCTCCTGCCAATATGTAAGGCCCATCACTCGATCGAAGCATCGCGCTAATCTGCTTCATCCTCCATGCTTCGTCGAGATGATCGAGATGCGTGCAATGCAGATTAACTTCTCCTGCTCTTGGCACTTCGATCGTCACCTTCAACACATTTCTGTGGCAAAGTTCACGAAGCTGGTTTGTAAAACAAAGATTTGGACAGTTATGAACCATAATTCGAGTAGGGAAAAGCTAATCACCGGAAGTCGGCATCGTCGCAGATTTTCTGAACTCTGCATTGCTTGATAGGCCATTTGGAGAGAATCGCATTCCCAAACTCTGGAGCCCAGCTCTCGGCGAAGACGTACTTCATTCCCAGCCCATCAGCCAGATCTGAGAGGGGTTTCATACCCTTCTCCTCCTCAGCCTTCACGTTCTGCAGAGCAAACACATCAGCGTCGACCTCCATCAATACATCAAGAACACTCGTGTCAGTTCTTCTCATTCGATCGACGAAGCCGAAGTTCTGATGAAGCATTGGAGCCTTGCCCTTTTGGAGTAATTTATCAGCAGAGGCTATCTGCTTGCTTCTCTCGATGGAGATTTGGTCTTCGGGGAGGTTAATGGAAACTCTTCTCTTTGAATTGGAGATCGTCTGCTGCCGTTTGAGTATGCTTTTGGGCCGGTCGTTTAGGGCTTTGCCAAGGATGTTGAGATTGCCGGCCGGAGGGTTTTGGAGGTTGGGGGTGGGGGGAGCCATGGAGAACATGGCAGCGTTGAAGGTTGCGATCCGGATCGGCTGAAGTGGGGGTTCCTGTATCACTGCAACGGGCGGGAATTGACGAATGATGACCGGAGATTTGCGTCGCCGGCGGAAGAGTCGTCGGAGGAGGGAGCAGACGCGGCGGATATTAAACATGGTGGCTGCGCCACAACGGCAGTTTGTAGTGGCGGGAGACTCAGCCGATGGTGAGAAGGAGAAGAGGCTTGCTATTTTCTTTGAGAAGCCATTGCTGCTTCTTCTACCCCTTGTGGAAGTTCTGCTAGCAGACATGAGAGAGAGAGAGAGGGAGAGAGAGAGAGGAGATTAGTTGTAGCTGAGAAGGAGGATTAGTTGCAGTTTAGATGGGATTAGTTATAGATAAGGAAATAAAAAGATCCCGAGGAAATAAATAACTGCATCATAAACACATAAGAAGATACGGACATGAAAATTATTGTTGAAAATGTAAAGTATGAGAACGTATTAAATAAATATAAAATTAAAGTGTTTATTGAATCTAAATTTATTTGTGGATGATATCTAATTACTAAAATATCAGCACGAATAGAGAATATAGAGGGGGAGATGAGGAAGATTTGAGCGTCTCTAGCCGAACGTCTAACACTCATTTGTCGTCGTTGGTTTGCTCCATTTGATTGCCAAAAAAATGTCATTCGCGTGAGGCTGAACAGTGGGACGCCACACGCTTTTTTTTTAAATCTTAAAATTATGTTAGAAAAACGTATGAGAAAGAGTATGCACGAAATATTTTTTTTTGTTAGAAAATGGAGTTCGGTTGGAGAAGAATTACTATATTTTGCAGTGAAAATTCAATTATTTTGTTGGAAATGACCTTAGAGATCTTAGATAAATAGAAATTCTCCCACAAGTCAAAGAAAACTTTTTTTATAATTTTTTTATTATTCCCCTTTATTTATAAAATTTTGAAGGCTACAGGAAGGATTGTATTAAAAAAAATTAAAAACTATATAGATTACATGTACAATGCCACACCATATTACACGCATTTGTTGCTCACAAATTAGTGGGAGAGTTGGGATGGTAATGTCTAGTGAAAGATTTGTCTCTAGGCGAGTGAAATAATGCTGAGATTTAGGGGTATCAATTCGGGTCAACGGGTCGGATTCGGGTCGAACCCGTAACTGACTTGGCACTATTCGGGTCAACTCGAACCTGTCCCGTTTTTAAAGATGGGTCAGGTTTCTAGGCCCGAACCCGATCTGATTCGGGTCCGGGTCAACTCGACCCGATACGAATGACCCGAAAGTTGAGCTAAAATTGATAGTTTTTGGGTCAAAATCGGGTCAATATTTGATTTTCTGGTTCAAAATCGAGTAAAAAATGGGTAAATCTCGGGTTTTCGGGTCAAATAAGAGTTTTCGTGTCAATTTTGAGTTGCTAGGTCAACCCGAACTTGACCCGATTTTTAAAACAGGTTGATTTGTTGAACCCGAACCCGACCCGTTTTGGGTCCGGGTTGACCCTAACCTGAATTTTTTAGAGTCGGATTCGGGTCGTGTTTCGGGTCGTATCAAAAATTGACACCCCCGCTGGTGAGTGATGTATTTATACATAAAAGATATTATAACATATGTGAATGCATTTATACATATAAGATATCATATTTAAAAAATTCATATATTTTATTTTATTTCAATTGCTCATTTATTAAATAATAAATAAATTATCATCAGTCATTCATCACTCCATTTGCACTAATCTTAAATTCCTGTGAAAGCTGAATGGCATAATTTACTGAAGATTCCTCTTATATTAAAATGTTATAAATGTGATCCATTGAGTGTCAAAATAATTGGCACTATATTTTTTATATTATTGAATATGTGATGCTTTAATTGAATTATAAATTTTTGTTATAAAAATGATATGCAAATTAAAAATTAAGGTGTAATAATTTTGCATAGAAATTAAGAAATATAACATCAATATCTAATTCTAATTAGGTTAATATTTTATAAGAATAGCTTTTAATAATTTAATAATGGTGAATTTTTATACAAAATATTCAAAATTATCATATTTGCATATTAAACATGTGAATATTAATATTTATATAATATAACACTTCGTTAACTTAATAGAAACCGTCGAGAATTAAGAGAAATTGTAGTGGCTATCGAATGGGATCCCACGAGTTGACGAAGAAGAGATAGAGAAGTCACAACACAATCTCGCTTGGAAGGACATTTTGATGAGACCGACAACAGGAAAAATGAAAGCAGTAATAATTTTCTTACTGATTTCTGAAGCTTTTTATTAAAAAGCTATTTCATAAAACAGTAAGAAAGTTATCCAAAACAAAGCCTATAATAGAGAGGGTGAGAATGATTTATTCTTGAAGATATTTAAAATTATATGAGTAAATAATAATGTTTATATGTTAAGTATATAAATAGGATAATTTTGAATGCAAAATGTAGATAAATTCCACTTTAATGATTTATATTAAAATATAAAAAAACATAATTTTAAATATTAGAACTTCCTGTTATTACAAAAGGGAGAATGATGTTGGAAATGAAGAGATTATAAGGAAAGTGTAGCTTAAAGGCATTGGAAAAAATTTTGGTCCAAATATCTGAAAATTTTATTAAGATAAGTTATTGATTCATTAAATTTATTTTAAGATTAGTATAATTGTTACATTTTAAGATAATTTTTGTTGGCAAAGTTAGTGTTTTGTATCATAATTTTTAACAAAAATTTGGCATGTACAGAAAAGTTATAAAAACAAAAGAAATTTAAGCGAAATTTTTGGAAAGAAAAAAATCACGGGATCTGACCTAGCTGAATAATTCACTATATATCATGAAATACAATGATCATCCTTTCCTCAGAAGAGGATGGGATTATTTATGGCCGAGAATTTAATTTTTCTTATAGAGATTATAAAAATTGGATGTTCATAGACAAACAATTAAAACCCAACAACAATGTTAAATTTGTATATGAGTCTTAAGACTATTGCGGCAATTGTCGGTGGTGGTCATTAGCATTGATCGCTACAAAATGCAATTTTTTTTTAGTTCTTCTAACTCTTTATCCTCCCGTTCTATAGAGAATGGAATCATATTTATAGGCTTTTGAGATAGACATTTTGATTAATTTAGTCAGAATCCATAACAAACACTATCGTTGCCAAGTTCTAAGTCCTGGATGAGAAAAGTGGAGGGTTGCGTTAGGTAATCGACAGCCAAACTTATAGTCGAACTGAACATCTCAAAAATACAAACCCAACGACACCAAATTCAACTCAATCCGAGCCCAATGAGTTCAAATCAAAGACCCGAATCATATTTGGAGGGTTCAAACTATAATTTGGATTACCAAACGGTTTCCAAATGTGACGTGCTTATAGTCAAATTGAGTGGCTTGACAAGATGAATCCAGCGAGCCCAAGATCATCAAATTCTGATATCATTAGGAACTTCAAATGCCCAATAAATGATCCATGATCAAGGGATTCAACATCGGCCATCCATTCAAACCATTCCCAATTTACCCTTAATTATAATTTCAACTTTTGTTGAAGTCCACAAAAGCTCATCTTGATCTATTGATTGAGAGTTTTGGCTAACAACCAAGATGTTATTGTTAGAATAAACTTACACTTATTTACGTTTATTTCTGTATCCAGTAATACTTGTACACGTGTAAACTATGTACATGAATCTTCTATATAATACATGTAATGTATCTGTAATAGTCGAGAAAATCAATTCATATTCTTCTTTCATTTCATCCTCTTCCCTTTATTCTCCTCTGTACGTTTCTTGTTTTTCATCATGGTATCAGATTAAGGTCGATCCTTTCGTTTTCTCATGCATGGCGAATACTGCTTCGTCTTCCTTCCATATGGAAGCCACTTCCGGAGTTCTTTTTCCCGCTCAATCTGTTTCTCCCTCCCTCAAATTCGTGATATCCAATCTAAAATTTCTTGTTCCGAATCCACTGACACCGGACAACTACCCTCTATGGAGCAACCAGATCATCAAGATTCTTAAGGCTAACGGTTTCGCTCTCTTTCTCGATCCGAAGCCAACGACCGTCACGGCCACTGCGACACCGGCAAATGACAACACCGATCTGAATCAAGAATCGCACCAATGGTCGGTCATTGACCAAAATTTGGCTACCGCTCTGTGTTCGACGATCTCGCCGGCGGTTCTCCCCTACGTAATTCAGCTCAACTCAACGCACGAAATCTGGAGCACCTTGCAAACTCGTTTCCAATCTTCTAACATGTCCAAAGTCATTCAGCTCAAAAATGAGCTCCACAATGTCTCAATGAAGAACCTCTCAATGTCTCAGTATCTAACTGAGATCAAGAAGATTGTCGACCAGATTGCTTCCGCGGGATCTACGGTAGACTCCGAAGATGTTATGATATACATCTTGAACGGACTACCTCCTTCATATCAGCCATTTGCTGCATCCATCCGCACGATGCAAACTTCTCTCACTCTCGACAACCTTTACGCCCTCCTCATTAGCAAACAAATCCATCTTCAGGCGGCTGCTACCAAATTTCCCACCAGTGTTGACACCCAAACGGCTCTCTATGCCTCAAACTATCGCGGTCGTCGCGGTCGATCTCGGCCCTCTCAAGAAAAGATTCAGACAACGCGCTCTGCTCCTTCCTCCGGCGTCATCTGTCAAATTTGCAAAAAGAATGGTCACTCGGCAGAAGCTTGCTGGCACCATCTCAATCCTAATTACATCCCGTCGCAACCTTCCAACAAAAACAGTCAAGCGCTTCTTGCCAACACCGATACCAACAACTCTACCGACTGGTATCTGGACTCCGGCGCTTCCACACATATGACAAATTCAACCAACAATCTTGCTACGTCTAACGTCTATACCGGTACTGATAAGGTTACCTTAGGGGATGGAAGATCAGTCCCCATAGCTCACTCGGGCACGGGACTACTTCCAACCCCTTCTCGTAAGCTTTTTCTCTCTCAACTTCTTCATACTCCTTCTATATCTCACAATCTTCTTTCTGTTTCGAATCTTGTTAAAGACAACAACATTTCCATTATATTTGATTCAAGTGGTTTTATTTTTAAGGATTTGACGACCAACAGAATACTTCTCAGAGGCCCTTGTAGAGACGGCTTATATCGCATTGCCAAGCCCGTCCACCAAACTCAACACACGGGTCTCTCGGTGGCCAGAACGTCTTCTTCCCAATGGCACAATAGGCTTGGTCATCCTAGCCTCAGCATCTTACAGCACATCTCCAAGAATAATCCTGATCTACATATTTCT